AGATAGCCTACCACCCTCCGTCACCCCATCGTCGTCAACAACACCATCGGCCGCAGCCACTTTTCCGACATCGGACCGATGGTGGTGATGGTGAGGATCAGTAGCGTTCGACCCGTACATGATACTGGCATGACTTCCTTGCTCGACTCTGGACAGGCGATTATTCGGGTTGTAGTGGGTTCCGTACCCACTCGTGGTTCCGTCGTCCATCGATGAGAGCGTCGAACCCTGCGCAATAGACTGCAGCGTGCTACGTCGAGAGGTACTGCTGCGCCTGAGAAGATCGGGTCGTGTGGGGTCAGAATAATACAATAGGTCGTCCGGACTACCGGGTACGGTCATGGACGAGGTCGGTCTGCGGTGGCCACCACCAGTCTGCTGCATCTGAGATTCATACGCTTGCCACCGCTCGTCTCGCTCCTCCATCGCCTTTGCAACTCGGGCTGGGACGTGTAGTGCTAACGGATACGGCACAGGAACACCAATCTCTTCATCTTGTGGGAAGAAGGTGAAATGGGCAGAAGCATCTTCACTAATCTCCGATGGGTCATAGGGGACAGGTATCGCAGAACTTCCACCGGGTGTACGTGCACGCATGAAAGCTTGCGAAGTGGCAGAGAAAGCACGAGATACTCGTGAAGACCTCGACGGTCGCGATCGGTGGCTCGTACGATGACTTTGGCGGTCTGAAGGAACGGCGGCTGCGATAATAATCGAATCTGCCTTTTCTGACGTCACTTCGGCCATCGATTGTTTGTCCTCTCGCTCTGTAATGATAGGTGCCGTGTCTCTTGTCTCGGTTTGTTCCCTCTCTCTCCGTCGTCGTCGAACACGACGGAACAAGAGGAACGCGGCAATCGCACAGAGAGCGGTCAACAAGATCAAGCTGACAACCAACCCGATTACCAATCCCTTTGGTGCACTAAATGAAATCATTAAATTTATCATTCACATGGAGGTGAACAATACATACCCTCCTCCGTCTTGTAAAGTACCGACGGATGCACCCGTAACTGTACTCGTCAAAGTATCCGTTGTTGTCTGTCCTGTAGGATTTGGGAATGGATTCAGATTCGGACCTGTAGGTTGGCGTCCCGTCTGAGTGTGATTCGTTCCACTGCTCCCATCACCATCATCCGTCGAGTTTCCACTGTTCACGGGTACAGAGTTTGTCCCCGAATGCGTCGCTGTAGTAGATTCTGAAGAAGGCGGAGGTTGTTGCTGGTGCTGTTGCGTACTGGTAGTCGGTGACGGTGCCGCTCCACCTACGTTCGTAGGAAACGTAAAAGTAGGCCAGTTGAAGGTAGACGTAATTCTTGGTGTAGATGAAGTACGACTATTTCCATTGCCATTTCCATTTCCGTTCCCATTGCCATTCCCGTTTCCGTTTCCATTCCCGTTCCCAGTTGGAGGGTCCCAGTCACCCATTCC